GGCTACCAGTGCGTCAAATGCTACGAAGACTACTATTACTGATGATGTATTTGAAGATATTCTCCAAAAACTAGATGATCGCCATAAGCGAAAATCTAACTTGATACTCTTTGGTGTCCATCAGCAAGTACCCAATCTTCATGGTGCCGAGCGAGCTATATACAGCAGAAAAAAATTTCGTTGATGGAGTCCTCAAATTTCTAGCGCCCAACATTGCTACCGATAATCTCGAACCCATTAGGCTAGGAAGCTAGATGCCAACAAACATAAAGGGCGGCCCAAAAAGTTGATACTGCGTGACCAAAGCAATGTATATGAGTATATTCGCAATACATTTAAATAAAAAAATGAAACTGGTTTCCAAACCGCATCGCTGTCATTTGATTGTACTCGTAGACAAATTGTTATATTACAAATCTGTAAAGGAACAATTAAATATAAAGTTAGGGAAAGGGGAGTTCTGTAAAATTAAATATATACGCGGCGTTCCAAATATCGTCAATTCAAACTAAATGTGCCCAACAACACCTGTTCATATTATTACCAAAATGTAATGATCTAAAGTATCTCAGTCTCCTTGTGCTGTTAGTCAAATGGACTACGATGTAATAGGATTATCAGAAACTTGGCTTAATGAAGAAGTTCAAACCTCGGAACTTTTCCTGAGTATGTATAATGTTTATAGATGCGATCGTAGATTTCATCTAACTGGTAAAACTAGAGGTGGAGGCGTTCTTGTTGCCTGTCATTCAAACATCAGATCTAAAGTGCTTGATCTTTCTATGTTTATACAGACATTTGATGCTATTGATATTGTGGGATGTAAAATATATCACAACTCGCATTCACATTCTGTTATTGTTGTTTATATTCCACCAAATTTGGAGATCGAGATTTTTGAATCGTTCTGCGAAATGATCGAATAGTTTCAGTGCATTTACGGAAAAAATGTTTTAATAATGGGAGACTTTAATGTACCCTACTGTGTTACCAGCAGTCTTGACAAAAGAAGTAATTTGATCAATAACCTATCTTCCTTTCTTGATCTGTCCCAGAAAAACAATATATCAAATGTCGATGGGCGATTGTTAGACCTAGTACTTAGCAATATCAATGTTCAAATCCAAAAATATTCATCACCGTTGTTGCTGGAGGACGTTTATCACATCTACAGCTGAATACAAAATATGCTCGATTTTCTCAAAATAATGGTCATATGAACTATAATTTCAAATACCTATGCTGATTTCCCTTCCCTATATCGTTCATTAGAAGTAACTAATTGGTCTTTTCTGTTGGAATTTACTGATGTTGATATGGCAGTTGAAGCATTTTATTCACATCTTTTTGCAATATGTGATAATTATGTTCCAACTTTCAAATCTTTTAAACGAAGCTATCCTTGTTGGTTCAACTCAGCGATAATTAAAAACATCAAGCTTAAAGCACATTATTGGAACAAGTACAAACATGACAAGACGGACAATAACTATGATGATTTCAAGCGTTTGAGACCCTTAACCAAGAGTTAGATAAGGGAGTCGTACACTCAATTCATAAAAAATGCTCAAGACGAAATCATGTGGTCGTACATTCAATCCAAGAAGAAACAGTCCAGAATTCCTGGAAAGAGGAAGTATAATGGTTCTGAAATTAACACGTCCAGTGATATCGTTAATGCATTTGCAAGTTACTTTAAGAGCGTGTTTGCCTTCAACGTAAATAGCTCCATAGACTACACTCCATGCTGTACAGATATCAATCAATATTCAGCAATTGTTATCGACAGTATTACAACGGAAGAAATTATAGTTGAGACTATAAAAAATAAGTATACGACCGGTCTTGACCTTGTTCCTTCATTTCTTGTAAAAGATTGTATAAACGCGCTCGTTGCTGATTTTGTATAACCTGTCAATCGGTACTGACAATTTTCCAGAAGCCTGGAAGCGCGCCAAGGTATGCCCCGTGCTTAAAAGCGGTAATCCTGACGAAGTAAAAAATTACCGACTTAGGTTAAGAACAATCACAAACATTTGGACGTTCATTTAGCTTCAATAGCATGGGCTCTTCGAATTACAAAACACGAAACTATTGGTTTCGTTCTTCCTTTTTTTCTTATTCGTCGGGTCTCCGGATCGTAGCAACAACATCGACTAAGGGATCCTGATCAATTTCGTACTTTTCTTTTCTTCGGATGCGTTCACAAAGATTCAAGAAAAGTCGACTGCGCATTTTGCACATACCAATGTTACAAATAAGGAATTGTGGAGCTCCATATACACAAGAAGTACAGGATCCTGGATACAAGAGTTTCGGCATTCGCCGTTCTGACAGAAAAAAGGAGTACAAATTTACTCATATAGTCTCGCTAACAACCAATACATGATTTCACCCTTGTGTTGATCTGGATCCTATAAAATCCAAGCTAATCATTTGCCACGGTTCATAAATGTCAGGGTGAGAACCCTTAAGCTCCACAGGTCGAAGTCGCCAACAATATCGCTGATGAATGCGCCAAAAAGTCTTATAAATAGTGGGAGAGCTGGGAGACATTTTTGGGTAGGTATTTGAGGCACGCCGAAAACTTGTCCAACACTTCTACAATAATATCCAAATACAGAAATGCAGACCTGTCTGAGGAATAGCGGGGCTAACACTTTGCCAGGCGCCTTAAAAGTTTGAAAAAAATAATGTATGCCCATCAGTCGAGTATCCGAATGCGTAAGAAATAGTGGATGATCAACACATTATTAGTGTCGTCTGAATTAGTTGTAATTGTATCATGTTGACATTTTTATCGTTTCTTATTTCGAAATAATAGTTATTTACATAAAAGTCAGGAAAATGACACATTATTGGCGAGGAAAGATTGAAGTGCGAGGCCCCTTTGGGGCCGAGTACTTTAATTTCCGAGTCAAGTAATGTCATAGATAAATGTGAAATCTCTACTTAATTATCAACAGAAAATGCGTTGTTTACAATCTACATCTTCTTTGTTTTTCACTGCCTTTAAAATAAATTTTAAAACGCCATTGATATAGATATCGCGATTTTTATTGGTAGTTACCTATCTATCATTACACTTCTTTAAAAATATACGTATAATTTCAACCAAATCTGCATTATTAAGGATCCTCAGATCCTTTATAGTTTTGTATTGTCGTCCGTCCGTCCGTCAGTCTGTGTGCGCTATAACTCTTTTTAAAAGTGGCCGATTGTGTTGAAATTTGGTGTATGGGTACTTTGGACATTAAGGACGGACACGCTATTGATTTTCAGCCAGCTGATTCAACAGGAACAAAAGTTACAGGATATCTTGATGCTGAAAGAATACACCACGTGCACATTTGAATACCGCATGTGTGTGATTCAAAGATGTTAAATCTTAAGGCTACATGGATTTTGATCAAAACATGGCAAAATCGTTATTCATACACCAAGATCATTGTGAACGAGATTAAAAGCATTATCTCAATGCCCAAGACATGAATTTGAAGCGTTTTGATTACCTTTTAAATGTATTTTGTAAGGTTGAAATAAACTGTCGTTAAAAGTGATTGTAATCCTGAGGATCCTTCGATATTGCGTTATATCGGTTTATCTATTAACACAATGATAGATATAGATTTGTTTGTAAGACACCTGCATCACTTATCTAAATTATTAAATAACAAGTATAAGTGGATTGCTTTGATATAGCAATCGTTGCCCAATTTCCTTTTGACATTGATAATGGGCATGATTGTTATCGTGCACTTTTATTTTATCATAGATAAATGTGAAATCTCTACTTAATTATCAACAGAAATTGCGTCGTTTGCAATCTCCATCTTCTTTGTTTTTCACTAGGTACCTTGAAAATAAGTTTGTTTTTTTTATTTAAATTAACGTGCCTCAGCTACTAATGGCCATTGGCACGGGTACACATACACAAAACTTACATTATGTAGAAAAACAAGGGTAAACGACAACAATAAGAAGTGAAGTTAAATAGAATTGTAGACGCTAATGTCTTTTGTATTTTATAGCATTAACACAATTGTGGTGCGTTTTAAGGTCCACCTTGAGATCACCTTTCAGATTGGATCGAATCCTTTGTTCCGCAAATTGTGGACAGTCCCACAAATGTAGCACTGTTAGTGGAACATTGCAAACTGTCTTAAGTGGAGAGAACGTGAAACCTGATGATTTAGCCCAGATGGCCAGACCATTGATGGCATTTATGTAGAACTCCATGATAGGCTTTGTCGTGTTAATTAATAAATCAAAGTAAAATAAAAAACCTATAATTTTTATTGTTTTTCTATGGGCTATCGATTTCGCCTTATAGGGCTTCATCAGGCCGTAGCTGAAATATACAGGGTGATTCCTATAGTACCTGCCACCGTTTGGGAGCGTGTAGGTGGTGCGTAGGGGAGTATTTTGATATAGGACACTTGGGGTCGGAAATCTAAAATAAGGGTGCCAGAGCGAAATTTACCTTCTGGAATTTCGCGCCTGTAGGTAGGCAACCCAACCGGCCGGCGGTGCACACGGAGCGATCTCAGGCGGCGATGTGTGGCTGACACTTGATCAGAATTTTGTTTAAACCCCCGAAATCCCGTCTGCAACGACGCGTATCAAGTGAATAAACACTATGGCAATAGTATAATAATAGTTGGCTAGATGTAGGAAGTGCATTGAGAACAACGGTGGCCACGTTGAACACTTGTAAACGTATTGCTTTTGACTGTCGTTTTCCCTCCTTCCCTCCCATGTCGCTTCCTCGCGCTAACTCGCTCTGCATCGCTCCGCGCGAAACGTCGGTCGGTTGGGTTGCCTACATACAGGCGTGAAATTCCAGAAGATAAATTTGGTTCTGGCGCCCTTATTTTAGATTTCCGACCCCAAGTGTCTTATATCAAAATACTCCCCTAGGCACCCCCTATACGCTCCCAAACGGTGGCAGGTACTATAGGAATCACCCTGTATATATATGCTAAACGCGTGAAATTTTTCAAAATCTATCTTACCGTCTACTGAATTACATTTTTTAACAAGATGGAAATGTATGATGTAATGTCCATATTTTTATATAAAATTGAATGTATGGGTGAGCGCTGAAATTGAATTAAAGGTTAGTAAATCGTATATCAGAAATAAATTAATTACTTACATGTTTTAAGTGTAGTGTGTGTGTGTATCAGTATGTGAGGTTATGTATGAGGCAGTGGCGTGTTATGTGAATGGGCAACGTATTTATAAAGATGATTATCATTGAATTCAGTTATGTCATTTATTAATTTGAAATTAGGATCTTGTAACGCTTTGTGAATTTCATAGTGTTCTAGTATTGTTAATTTTTTGTAATTGTTGGTTTTGTGTAGAATTTTTGTATTGTCTATTGATATTGTGTGTTTTGTGTTATTTATGTGGGTACCTATTGCTGAATGTGGTTTGTTTTTGTTGTGTTCGGTGAATCTTGTTAGCAATTTTCTTGTGGTTTGTCCTATATATATGCAGTTGCAATCGTTACATGTGATTTTGTATATTCCTGACTGTAAATGATGTGGTTCCTTTGGTTTGTAGTTGGTTAGAATTTTTTGTAATGTAGGGTGTGTGGTGTTAGTGAGGGTGATGTTGTAGGGGTTTAGTGCTTTTTGTAGGTGTGTATGTATGTGTTTGTAGTATGGGATGGTTATGTATTTATTGCTGTGTTTATGATGTGGATATATGTTTTTGAGCAAATGTTTGTACTTGATTCTTTTAAAAATGTTATTAATGAGGGTAGGTTTGTAGTTGTTATTTTGAGCTATCTGAAGGATCGTGTTGTATTCGTTATGAAAATCTAATGGGTTTAGGGGGGTGTTTAGTAGTCTATTAAAGAGGAAGTTGAAGGCGGCCATTTTTATGTTAGGTGAGTGATAGGAGTTGTAGGGTATTATAACATCAGTGGTAGTTGGTTTCCTGTATATATTGTATGATATGTGGTTGTTATTGTTATATAGAGTGATGTCTAGAAAGTTAAGTGTGTTATTTGATTCTGTTTCTAATGTAAATTTTATGTCTGAAATATTGTTGATAGTTGTGTGGAAGTGATGAATGACAAATATGTCGTCTACATATAACCAGGTGGTAACATATGTTTGAAATTTGGTAGATTTTTAATTCGAAGTTCAAGGTGATCAATAAAGATGTTTGCTAATAGTCCACTTATGGGATTTCCCATAGGTAGACCGTCTTCCATTTTGTAAGTTTTATTGTTAAACATGAATAAATTTAAGTTTGTGACATGTTGAAATAATTTTAGTAGAATATTGATGTCAATTGGATCGAGGTTGTAGTTTTTTCTGAAATCATCGTTATCATATAACAAATCTGAGAGTATCTGTAGTGTTTCTGTTTTAGGAATATTAGTGTACAAATTTACAATGTCGAAAGATATCATTGTGAATGTTTTGTGTTGGAGTTGTAGCTTGTTAATTTCTTGAATGAGTTGATTGGAGTTTTTTATGGATTGTGTGGATTTGTATTTAAATTTATGTATCATGATGTTGTTTAGTAGTTTAGCTAAGTTGTGTATGGGTGAGTTTGTTGATGCTGTAATTGGGCGGATTGGTTTATCTTGTTTGTGTAATTTAATTAAACTGTAAAGGATCGGAATTTTTGGGTTTCTGTTTTTTATTGTGTATGGTGTGTTTGTGAATTTATGTAATGTGTGTTGTTACTCAAGTAGTATTTTGTTTGTGATTTCTATATATTTATTGATTGGATTGTGTTTTATTGTGCTGATGTTATTATCTGAAAAGAATTGTTCCGTTTTTGATATGTAGTCTTTGGTTTCGATAATTACCAAACCTGCGTTTTTGTCAGCGCATGTAACTGTGAGGTTGTGGGTTTTGATTTTTTGTTGTAAAGTTTTTATAGTGTGTGTAATGTTTTTATAGGTAGTGTTAGGAGTGTATTGCGTTTTACTAACCTTTTTGTTCAAGATTTTAATGACGTTTTCTTTGGCGTGGTTGTATGCTGGAAGATGTTTTAGTTGAGCTTCAATATCTATGGAAATGAGATGAGGTGAGTAACAATTAGGATGTGGTGCGAATTTGTGGCCTAGATTTAAGATTTGTTCTTCTTTTTTGTTAAATGTGATGTTTGATAAATTTGTAAATCGTGGTGCGAATTGATGTACTTTTGTTTGCTTCTGTTGAGGGATACTGTCGGTGTCTTGCGGATTGATGCTGTCGGTATCTTGTAGAAGGAAGATGTCGAAGTCTTGCAGCTGGTAGTTGTCGGTGTTTTGTGGCTGGGCGTTGTCGGTGTCTTGTGTTGAGGATTGATGGTTGGAGGAAGTAGATTTTGAATCTATGTTGATATGAGTAGTTCTGGGTGAAGTTGGGGGTGCTTGTTGATATCTTGGATTTTCTTGAGGGTGTTTTTTGTGTTTTTGTGGTGCCTTGTTTTTGTTGTTGATTAGATGGTCTAGTTTTTTCCGTCGTTTATGGTCTAATTCTTGGTTGTCGGATTTGATGTCCTCTTGTAAATCGTTGTATATTGTTTCGTATTCCATGTAGTGTAAATATTGTAAAAGATGGTGGTGGAGAAACTTGATTTTTGTGTGGATGATGGTTCTGGTCTTATGTTGATTTTTTATTTCTTGTTTCAGTAGAGTTTTATATATTTGGTGTTCTTCCGTTGGCTTGTATCGTTTTCTAGGCAGTTTGATTCGAAGAAATTTGGGAATGATATCGTTCATTGATTGCATTGATGGCAGTTTGGAGTAGATTGCACGTGGTGTCAATTGATCTCCCAGCACAAAGAAGCACAAGATCATCTGCGTACAGTAAGTGTTTTATTGGTGCCTGTATGTGTGTGCTAATATCGCTTATGGCTAGGTTAAATAGTGTAGGACTGAGAACGGATCCTTGAGGCACACCATTTTCTAAAGTAAATGAGTGTGAAAATGTTCCTTGGACACTCACTTGGGCCATTCTGTGTGATAGGAAATTTTCTAGAAAAGCTAGTATGTTGCCTGAAAGACCTATTTCTCTAAGCTTATGAAGAATGGCGGGTCTCCAAACAGTATCGAACGCCCTTTCAATGTCAAAGACTACAGCAATCACATTTTGTTTTCGATTAAGGCTACATGCGATTTCGTTTTGCAGGATTACTAAGTTGTCAGTGGTACTTCGGTGTGGTGAGAAACCCGACTGTGCCTGATTCAGGATCTGATAGTTACTAAGGTACCAAAGGAGACGTTTGTTGATCATTTTTTCTAGTAGTTTGCACATTGTGCATGTCAGAGATATGGGTCGGAACATGTTGAGCTCAATGCTATTTTGGTTACCTTTCTTGAAAGGCATAATAATGCTCTTTTTCCATATGGTGGGGAGCTCGTGAGCCGTCCATATTTTGTTATAGGGTTCAAGTACTTTCTTCAGTGAGATAACCGATAGATGTTTAAGTAGAGTAAATGGTATATCGTCAAGACCGGCCGCAGTATCTTTGCATGCATTCAGTGCATGTTGCAATTCTTGGAAACTGAAAGGCAAGTTGAGGGATCCAGAAAAAGGTAGGTCTATAGGGTTTAACGGATAAACAGAATATTGCAAATACTTTTGCCAACTATTTCCGAGATAAATCAATAAGCAACCACATACCCCGGAAAATAAGTTTTAAAACGCCATTGATATAGATATCGCGATTTTTATTGGTACTTACCTACCTATCACTATACTTCTTTAAAAATATACGTATAATTTCAACCAAATCCGCATTATTAAGGATCCTCAGGTCCTTTATAGCTTTGTATTGTCGTCCGTCCGTCCGTGTGCGCCTAAACTCTTTTTAAAAGTGGCCGATTGTGTTGAAATTTGGTGTACAGGTACTTTGGACATTAAAAGGACGGGCGCTATTCATTTTCAGGAAGCTGATTCAACAGGAACAAAAGTTATAGGACTCCGAGTGAATCTGGAACAGGAAAATCTGCGCGCTCAATATAATAGAAACCAACATATTTCATCCCTAGGTCATGTATCGAGTTGGGACTTTCGCTATGACCCTTAGATGTGTAACAATTCAATATAACTCTTCCCTGTGGTCAAAAGTTTTAGAGCAAAATGTACCCAAAATAAGAATTTGGAATTGTAAAAGCTTCCAAACGCATTATCTTGATTCTGAATGAATACCCCACGTGCACATTTGATAACCGCATGTGTGTGATTCAAAGATGTTAAATTACTTTTCTGAAGCCACATAGATTTTGATGAAAACATGTCAAAATCGTTATTCATGCACCAAGATTGTTGGGAAAAAGGCTAGGAGCATAAAATGTATTTTGTAAAATTGAAATAAATTGTCGTTAAAAGTGATTGTAATACTGAGGATCCTTCGATATTTCGTTGTATCGGTTTATATTATTAATGTCCTAAAAAGTACATCCAAATGTACACAGCAGCCTGTTAGGTTCCTTTTTCTCCTTTAATTTTATTTAGTTTTGTCGCCTTCAAAACCCTTCAAGAAGTTTTAAGTTTGTTTTCTTTTCTTGTTATTTTAGGTTAGGGTTAATATTTAGTTTTATAATTAGGGATTTTCTTTTGGGTTTTGTTGGTGGTTTTTATACCAGTGGCGTACCATTCGATAGAATTCCTTTTAGTTTTTTTTTGTGATTATAAATTTGATTTGAAATTCACCCGTATTTTCCTTATATCCATTGTTCCGTTTCTACCCTCTTCCTATTTCTTTTGATTCTTTAATCTCTTCCTTATTGGTTTATGCTCGTTTCATCTTTCACCCTGCTTACTACGTTCTGTGTCGCTTCTTTGGTTTTCTCTGTAGCATCCTCTATCGTTTGTTTGTTGCATTGATTTTCCCGTCTTACGTTTATTTTCACGCCTTTTTGTTAATTGTTACCGTTTGATTTTTCCTCAAATTTCGTCCTTGATTGCGGGTTCGTCTTCTAATTCCATTTCCGGGGGCCATTCCAATCATCGTCATTCTATCGTGCGTGCATGAGGTGAAAAAACTGTTTGCAATTTTCGATCCAAGTGTAATTGGTATTCAGCCTCTTTTTGAGATCGCCAAAAGCTCCAAGAAATTTATCGTTGCGAGCCGCCCATATTTTGGGGATTTATAAACAAATTACACGCAGTTTAATTCCACGATTATAATAACAATCTTTCGGTGTGGCTTCTGTTTCATTGTCCGTAATAGGGAATGCAATCCCGCAGCAAAATCTCAATCCCGGTATTTGTGGGATTGTTAGATGTTAATCCCGCGGGATCCCGGTATTTGCGGGATCTCGCAAAACTTTAAATAAATTGGCAAATAAGCAATTCTGTGAGGTTAACTTCTGTATTAAAATAAATCGCTAATTATCATAATATTTAACCAAAAAGTTATTACATTTTTAACGAAAAAAGTTTAACAATTATTTACAAAATAACTTCTCCGTTATGCGTTTCATTAACAAAGTACACCGAGTTGCCGCCTTGATCGACAGATTCCTCAGTCCCGCAAATCCCGCGGGATCCCGCTCCATTTATGTGCGGAATTAATCTCGCAAAAAAGATGCGGGATCCCGGTATTTCGGGATCCCGCGATCCCGGTATTGCATTCCCTAGTCCGTAAGTACCGCCTTGGGATTATTCCTGGGATTATTTTGTTCGTACATCCTGTATATGTACCTACTTGCCGTACACCGATTGTCTCTTCTTTATGGCCTCCAACACCTTGTAAGTATTTTTTTTGGGTTGTTTGTCGTGTTTCGTATTGTTATTTCTCATTTCCGTTTTAGGGCTTTTGTACTTTACTGTACCGGTGTCTGTAATTCTGACGATTATCAACATAAGCAATCTCTGGACGACCACCATCAGCCAGCTCCAAAGATCGGGAGACACCGTTTGTGCCATCGTTTTCGTTTCCCTATCTAATCGTTCCTTTCACTATTCTGTACTTCCCCTACCGCTTAAATTTCGTTCCTCCACTCCTCTCCGCCCTATTTTCTCCTTATTCTCTACTTAGGTAATAAATGCCGACTTCACCATATTTCCTACCTTTCTTACATTAACTGTGTGATTAAATGGGCGGCCATGATGGCATCAAAATAATGCTATATTAATATATACGATTCCTGTACCGCAAAATGTAAATAAAACGATTTATTTATTCATACAAATACATGGGCAACGTTTTTGCAAGCATATTTTTGAATAACTTTTTAAAAAAATTGAAAATTATGAAAAATAAATTAATAGCTTTTAATAGACATTACTTTTCAGGGGTAGCTATGTTTTTTGAACTATCATGGACACATTCATCAATAAAATTTCTTTCGTTTCAATTTTCAAGTCACGCGGGGTTTTAAATTATTGTTTTTCATGTTTCAAGTCATAAAGATGTTTAGTAGGTATAATGATGGCGTTCAGAAAATGAAGGTTGGTAAATCTTGCCTGCAATTTGGGACAAATTACCTTACAGTGAAGTAAGTTTTAGTGAAGATTAGGTCAGCAGTACCAACGCGAGAGGTTCGATTAATTATGTATGTATGTACTTTGATCGTTGAAATTTGGAATACATAATCAAACAATTAGTTATTAATTTTATAAATAAGAGAGTCTTCCGTGGATTGCTCTCAGTGTGTCGTGGTTAGTTTAGTTAAAGAGTATATATTCGTTGATTTAGTGCACTATTTATTACAACATTTACCTGTTGTTCATCTGGAACAGATTGTAAATATGTAATACAGTTTTTAAAAAAATTACGTCATTTACCTGTATTTTAAGCTCTGCTTTTATTCTTTTGTATCATGAGAGATATTGGTTATATTTACTCTAAAGAAAATTCAAAATATTAATTATATTTTTCTACAACTGTCAAAAAAACCTGTCATTTTCTGACGAATTTCGAAACACGAAGTACTAGATTTTTAAACGGTTAATTAATAGTTAACGTTGCTCTTAGCAACGTGCGCAAAAACGTCAACAGTGAAAAAAAGTATTTCGCGCACGGACAAAGTTGTACTCAAACAGCTCGAGTTTACCTAAACAGTTTAATTGGGAAATAAATTACAGATTACCTACACTATTGCGGTACATTATTATAAATATTAATAGTCAAACCTGTACAATTAGTTATGTTTACTCCAGATACAGCACTGTTACGTTCAGTAGTTGAAGTACCAGAATAAACATTTTGGTTACTTAAAGGCCTGTTAACTGACAAAGAAGAAATGTTATATTATAACACTGATTGTTAGTAACGTTAACATCTAATATTTTATCAGAAATTAGGTTTTTTTGAGTGATTGAATCGTCTATGTAACTTTCGGCTACAGTAGTCGATTTCCATCCCCCGTGGCGTTTAATATCTGTAATGCTTGCACCAGAATCTGATAGAAAGGTGGCTGAAGTCCTTCTGAAACAGTGGCCGGTATATCGCTTTGCATCGGGCAGATTAAGATAGTTTGCGCAACAATGCTCGGCATTTCTCCAAATTTATTTATACCATAACTACTTGATTTACGCATTTTCCCTTTACGTATTTATAAAAGAAGCGATTGCTGGAAGCGTTGAGTGGTCAAAGTGCGACATATTTTCTATAAACTTCTAAATATGACAAATGGGTGATAGTGAAAATTCTTTCCAAGTGCGTTTTCGAATCGGGTATGTTTACAACTAAAACTGAACTTCGATCTTCTATATTATCGACTGTCAATTTTGTTAATTCCTCTCGCCTCATTGCTCCAGATATTCCAAATATAACCGCTACCTAGACGATCAAAGAAATATAATTGTTTAATATAAATTTCACTACCTAATAAATTGATGTATGTACCTTAATTAACAAATACTGTTCATCATCGGCCTCAGTCAGAAACTTTTGCACGTCAAGCTGTGTAAGCACCTTCGACTTCTTTGGGCGATGTCCAACCGATTTTCTTTTCAGAAAGGGTACAAGCTTCGCGTATTGGCCAATATTAATATTTTCATTAATATTTAACGTGGATTTCAACATTGAGTAGATGGACCACAGTGTAGACGATTTGACGCTTTGCGATTTTTCCTCCAAATAAGCCAGAAGTACATTTTCAGTCGTTTTCCTCACCTTTTTCGTCAAACACCAATCTTTAAAGGTTCGGTACGCTATTTGGTACTGCGTTTTCGATTTTTCGGGCAAGAGCTTACGGATGGCATCGCTTGCGGTTTGGTGCACCTCTGGCGGAGTGCATTCTAAGTCACTATCATTTTCACTATCCATTTTTAGCGATTACTTGGTAATTAACGCGATCACGAAAATAACGCTCTAAATCTGACTGTTTAGTTTATTTACATACGTTTCCTTAGTAAGAATGAAATGAATCAGCCACCTCAAAATTAGTGCAATTTCCAAGGCTTTCAGATTAATCAAAGTGAGAAGGAGATGAAAACTTAAATTATATTCTAACAGTTGTAGAAAAAACGTCGTTTGTATTTCGTGCCCTAATTCAGCCACGTGAAGTTGGCCCCGCCCAGTGAAAATATTTGAACAAAATTATAGGTACGGTTAGTGCTACGTTAGTGCTGTTTAGTGCTGCAAGGGTAACGTTAGTGCTGCTATACAAAACGAAAAAAATAAAAAAAATCGGGGTGGGGCCAACTTCACACTCAACTTCGCCTTATCGAAATAATGTAGGTATCCTCGGTTAGTGCTACGTTAGTGCTGTTTAGTGCTGCAAGGGTAACGTTAGTGCTGCTATACAAAACGAAAAAAATAAAAAAAATCGGGGTGGGGCCAACTTCACACTCAACTTTGCCTTATCGAAATAATGTAGGCTTCCACGGTTAGTGCTACTTTAGTGCTGCTCTACTAACAAAAAAAAACTTTTGCCAACCTCTGTTAAATTTGACTAACGTATAACTTCCATGGAGATAATTGTCAGTACAATTGTTTCCATGGAGATTAACTGTCAGTTAAATTTAACAGAGGTTGGTAAAAGTGGCCCTTAATTGAATAATATGTTTGTCTTGGGTTAGACTACGTTAGGAATTTTGAGTTTTCAGTTAGTTCAAGGTTCAACACTGCTTTATAAGTGTTAGCTTCAACTGACCGTTTTCGAGAAAAATAAAAAAAAACGAGAATTTTCACCTTTGACCTTGAATAACTTTTTTTAGCACACACGGGTGCTGTGCGAAGTCGAGCTTTCACGCAACTACGCCACGCGAGCCGCGGCGAGTGAGTTTGTACTCATTTACTAAATGGAAAAGGTGAAAAAATTAGGGTAAACTACACTGATATAATTTTACGCTAACCTTGGTGTCAGCGAAGAATGTTAAATTATCTAAAGTTGTAGGTACTGCTATGCATAACGAGGAAAAACACAATACAAAAAATATTTTATATTGTATACAACAGAGCATGCGGTGTAACAGTTCTATTTTGGTTAATTACAAGAGATCCTGCTTGACAATCGTCATATAACTCCCATTCTCCATTGACTCTCTTACAAAATGCAGTGTAATGACCTATTTCGGTACCGTTCATAGGAGAAATGAAGTTCCAAACACACTTTAATTGAAATGTGCAATCAAATAATGTAATAGACAAAGGAATATCTTTTAAAGACATTTCAATCAACGTGGTTTCTCCATTTAGGGTAGGAATATCAACAACTACGTGTCCGAACTTTCCCATTTCCCTTACGTACGGTTTACTACAACATTTTTTCTTATTTTCTATATCTCGTAGAGGAGTTTCAATTGCAAGTGATAAATTTGCAACACATTCAGAAAAAATATTGCTGTCAACCGTAACGTAAAAGAAATGTCTACTGTTAGTATCAGAAGAACAACAATTTTTTGTTTCTGTGTACGTTGGTTGCATTACTTTTGAAATGATGTAAGTAATGTTACAATTACAATCTACATGTACGACACCTGTATATAAAATACATTGATCAAAAATGTCTTTAAGGATTTTGCAACGAGATGCGTACGTACCGACGTTTACTTTATTGTGAGACACGTTCTTAACAATAACATTAAAGTCACTAGTGTGTTCATCAAAAAGAGTTTTAAAATGTTCACTATCACAATAGGCTGTTGCCAAACCCTGCACTACACTATCAAAGGCGCACGTGTTTGTTACGGAATAGGATATTCCACCGACACGAATACTTTTTAGGTCAAAACTGTTGCCATTTTTTAGAAACCCGCACTTTATAGTTTTACAGAACGATTTAGGGTTATCTTTGAATGTAGTGTTTAATGCAGGTGTTAAATACACTGCTTTAATTTTAGATTTGTGGGATCCTTTGCCTTTCCAGTTTTCCGTAGCGTGGAGTTCTTCACTGTTTGGCGATAAAGATCGTGTTGACATCTTCATCGGAAGCGGGCTGCTTTTTGCGCTGCTTATAATCATTGATCCTTCATTCAATTGAATGTGTGTCAACAAAAACTGGTCCACAGTAGAAAGTCCTTTGGTGAAGAGTTGATTTTTGAGTTCTCCAAAGTAACTTTCTACAGATGCACTACTAGCACTAAGCTTACCATATTGAAAGTACGGTTGCATTATGGCTGTCCATAGTGGTAACTTGGTGCATAAGTCGCAAAATGGTTTTACTAAGGAGGGTAAATAGTGAAGATTGTCGTGATCTCCACAGTCTTCCAACGTCTCGGCAACGTTCATGCGTAATACATTTACCCACTCAGGAAAACTATCTACGATCTCATCACACAGGTCATGCACGATATCAATACCTTCTTCGTCTTCCGACTTGTCAAAGGCTTCTGCAAATTTTGATACATTATATTCCACAGTTTGTGATTCTTTCAACCATCTCTTCTTAATCTCGCAAAGAGTTAAATTATTCGTATCTTTTGACACCCCTTCCGTCTCACTTTGGCATATTAAGAGCACACATTTAATAATTTCTTCAGCTTTGTTAAAGTCAGTACAAAATACCAACTGCCCAACAGCACGTATATATAAATCGCGGTGTCGTTTTGTTTTTCCTTGAAAACATTTCCATTTCCTCACAAAGTTAATTAAATGCGCAACATCTGTACGTATGTAGCACTCAGGCAGCTGTTGTGTACGACCAAACACAACACTGAAACAGTTATTTAGGTATTCATGAATAGTAGTTGATGTCGTAAAT